GAAAAGCCCTTTAAAAAACAGCGGAGGTGGGGGTTGTCTAGATGTGTTTCCATCACATCTATTCTAAGTTCACTTCCTGGGATGATATCTGTGGTCCTGGCAATCCCAGAGAAGTCTGCTCATAATCTCAATATCAGTATGGCTTTGGTAGCAGGTTGAGTCAAGGAAACAAAAGTTCTTTAAGACCCATAACTCTTGAAAAATGTTATTGCAGCCTGGACAATGTCACAGTGACAGAGAGCAGCCAAAGCTCCAGACAGACATTCTGGCACTTGTACTGTTGGTTATTTAAAGAGGGGAAACAGTCGTAAACAGTTCGTGCAGACACGGGGTTGCTCTGTGACATGTGTTTGCTTTTGAGAGTATGGAATCAAGCTTTCAATCTCCCCGCAAAGAGCAAAATATGAGATCCAGTGGGACTATTTAATAACATTGTCTCCACATCTGCAAGGCATTTGCTGCTTTATGATCTGGATAACCATTCCGTTTATTTTACTGCATTAGCATTCCACAGCCAGGTAAAATAATTGGAGCTTTTCTGCCTCCTGTGAGGAATGTTAATTATTTTCAGCATGGTAAAAATGTGCAGAATCCATGAAAAAACTTGGCATGTGAAGAGGGTAATCAAATACTTAGGAAAAAAAAAAGTGCAAAACTGAGAATGCAAGAGATCAGTATAATTACTTGCAGTAAGAGCTGACTGTGCAGCTAGACTGGGAATTAATGGTGAGAAGAGGAACTATGAAACATAACTGCTGGACTCCTCTAAGAGTAAGGATATAGATATTACTCAAGTAAAGTCCTTAAGCATGTATTTGGCTTTAACTGTGTGCTTAAGTTAAGCTAAGTGCCTAAGTACAAGTTTCAGTTGGCATAATAAATTAGGATTCCAAAAAGTAGCAGCAGGATTCACAAAGTACAGAGATGAATGTTCCAGCTCTAGAAGCTGGGTCAGATTCTAAAAAAACACATTTGTATGCCTAATCTACATGGGAAAATTCTCTTTATTCCTTTTGGGGAATAAAAGTTGCTTTCATCAGGAATATACTCCTGCCTAGGTCTCTTGAAAGAGAAGATCCAAGGGAAACCATAAATAAATATCAACTGTCTTTGTATATTTACTGGAGATCCAAGTGAAGGGACATCTGGAGAAAAGGGATTAAATATCCATAGTGAAAACACTAATCTAAACCAAAAAGTTTTGCTATGCTTCAGTACTGTTGGTTCTCCTTAAAAATTACTTTCTGCCTGTGTTTGTTTCTGAAATGAGGGATTCATTGAGCTAAAATTCAAGACTCTAAGGAATTCTGCATGAGGACTGTCTTTTAATATGGATTTTCCTGTGCATCACATATGATCCATGAGGCACCGGAGTCATTTCATATTTTCCTGATATTACTTTTCCACATAGTCATATATTGATAGATGCCTTTGCATGAAATTAAGCTGCTTCAACCAAGAAATGGGAGCCAGCAGCCTGTTAATAGCCATTTATCCACAGGCTGTTTGTTGACAACTAGTTTTCTGGAACAGAAGAAAATACCATTATAGGCTTGGTCAGAAACTTTTTTAACACACACTTTTTTAATGTTTTATGTATATATATACTTTTAGGTGTGCTACCAGTAATCGGCTAGAAGTGCTTTGCGGGTGGTTCAGAAGCACGGCCTATGTGGCAAGTTCCTCTTAGGCAGACAGTGCAAGATGCAGGCAAGTGTGATGTTTTAGCTCGGTTTTGTGGCAATCACTTAGAAGAGCCAGTGGACGTGGGCTTATGAGCAGGAGCCACTGGGCTTAAGGCCTGAACGCAGAATTCACTTTTGATCCTGAGCACAGAAATTTAGCAATTCTGACAAGCTGTATCTCTCGGAGTAGAAGTTGTTCCAGGGCACAGGTTTTCACACATTATGGATCATTTTTGGATGTTAGTGTAGCCACTGGCACTCTGCCGGACACTGTTTAGAGATGGCAGAGGAAATAAAACATAAAAGGACCTATTCCCACAGATCCATGATATATCTCCGTTGTGGAGGGCAGAGAATGTTTATCTGCATGATGTTGGCCCCGTCCTGTTTGGATACCTCAGGCAGGAAGGGACCTTGGGGGTTCTCTCATGCAACCCTCTGCTCAAAGCAGGATCCGCTGAGGTCAGACTGGGCAGCTCAAGACTTTATCCAGTCAGGTCTGGAAAACTGGGCATCCAACTCCACCACTGTCTTCGTGGGGAAAGGTTTTTTCCTCACATCCAGGCTGAGCCTTTCTTCTTGTCTCTTGTTGTTCCACTATGCACTGCTGTGAGGTGCCTGGCCTCATCTACTTGCAAACCTCCCCCTTGGTCCTGAGAGGCTGCTGTTAGGTGCCCCCAAAGCCACCTCTTCTCCAGGCTCAGCAAGCCCCGTCCCTCAGCCTCTCCTCACAGCACAAGTGCTCTAGCCCCTAAGGCTATTATAGTGGCTGTCCGATGGACCTGCTCCAGTTTATCAATGTTTCTCATACACTGGAGGCCCCAAAACTGGACACAGTATTCAACATGCAGAGCAGAGAGATGACTTGCTGGCTCTGGCTTTGGCAATGCAGCACAGAACACTACTGATCTCCTCTGCTGCCAGGGCTTACTCCTTGCTCCTACACAGCGTGCCGGCCACCGAGATACACCGTGCTGCTCCCCAGTCAGTCAGTTCCCAGCCTGGATTGCTGCCAGGGGCTCTTCCTTCCCAGAAGCAAGAATTTATGTTTGTCCTTGTTGAGTTTCATGAGGGCCCTATAAGCCTGTTCCTCCAGCTTGCCCAGGTTCCTCGAACATGTCAGCTGTTCTTCGCATTGTGGTGTCACCTGCAAACTTGATGGCTGCACTGTTACCTACTGCAGGTTTATCAGGCCAGGTATGAGGACAGACCCCTGTGGGGCTCCACACTTGCAAATAGCATCCAGGCAGAGTATGACCCTTTGCTGACTACTGCTGAGCCTAATCATCTCACCCATCTTTTACCCATGCAGTTCTCTGCCCAGACAGATAGTACCATCCTAATTTGGATAACTGTATATAGAGAGGCTCGTATCTACCTTGCTAACTCACAAGCAGAGGAAAACTTGACAGAGATTAGAAGAAATACTTAGTAAGGAAGCTGTCTAAGGCAGTCAGTTCAAACAGGGGGCTGAAGAAAAAGAAGGTGCATGAGAGACTGTCCAGGAAAACAGAGGATATGGAAGTGTCAGGATAGGCAGATAGCTTGACCAGAAATAAATGAGCTTTAGTTGGAGGGAATGGGGGTGATAGCAGATGGTGCAAAATGGTTTTATAATAAGCTGTAATCTCAGTACAGTCCAGAACCTTTCTACAAGCCTGAGTGTCAGATCTGCATAGAGGTTCGATGCTGTGATGTTCATTTCTCCTTCCCCTGAGGGATGTGAGCACAAAGGAGCAGATTTCTCTCCAGTGATGTGGGGAAGCACTTCACCTGCCTTTGAAATACGGCCTTTTCTGCATGGTAAGACAGTAGCTGCTGACCAGCATAAAATATTCGTGTTCAAGGATGAGAAACAGAGTGTTGTCACTTTCGAGACAGAAGGGCAGCACAGAGATCCATGAGCAGCTGGGTTGGAAATGCAAGACATCAGTAACGCCAGACATTTCCATTAGGATTTGCACGAGACTGCATTCTGGTTTGCAAGAGAGACACAAAGTCATTCCAAGGTTGTCAAGACAACGTCTGAACACAACAGAATTGGCAACAATAACAAAATAAATCAGAGCTGATTTCTGTTGTCTCACTGAAAATTCATACCATTAGAGGGGTCTGAGAGATTGGAAGAACTGCTTAAAACGGAGGGTGAGTCCCCCTCAGAAGGAAGGGCCAAGGCAGGTGTGTAAATAAGCCGCCAGGTGCAGAACATCTGCAGGCACTGGGAGCTGGAAAAGCAGCAGAGGAACATTCAAACGTGTTTATAGTGTTGCTATCATTTAAAAACTTTACAAGTGAAAAAATGCAACTGTTCTTTTCCTTCTTGAACTAAAATACTGAAGTCTGCAAAGCAGAGCACTGATGTTGTGTTTGGCCAGGAGCCAGCCAGACAAGAAGCAAGACCAGTGGGCATGTAAACATTTTGTATGCATCTCAATCAAAAGTTTACTTCAAAGCCAAATTCTGGAAACAAAGATTCAAGTACGGATTTTTTCCCTTTTTTTCTTCTTTTTTAAAGTGTATGAGGGTAATGCTTTGTGCCAGTGAAACTAGCTGGATTAATAGCCTGAGGAGCCTGAGGTCTTGATCTCTGTTACACAGGATAAATATGAGCAATACAAGCTTTCTTTACCCGCTCTGTGTCTGTGCTTCCATCTCGATTTAAAGAGCCACACCTGGGGACACAGGGAAGCTCCTTTTTCCGTAACATCCACAAGGCTGCCAGCACCAGCAAGTTGTGATAGTCTGTTGAGAACAGGCTGTCTCATTGTTATGTTTGGACTACAATCAGTAGCTCGTTTTCACTTAGGTCTTTGAACAGCCTTTACAGAGGGAGCAATTTGTACTATAAAACAGAAAATCTCAAATTCTCAGCCAGAGAGTGTTTTTCTCTGAGGTAACTGGAGGGAAGTTCACTAGTATAAGTCACTGCAGCACAGCAGCGCAGCAAAGAGAGGCTCTTACTCCTGTGCTAGATCAGGTATGGGAGATGCATCCCTCCTTTGGAATGAACTGCCATTCTGGAGACTCCTGCCATGGTTTCCAGCATAGCTATGTTGCTGCTGGCACCCAGACCAGTTTTACCTCTGGTGTCGGCCCTGTGTTGCAATACTCGGTGCAACTGTGCCCACGCTTTCCGCCCATAGCAGTGGCTCCTCAAGATGCCCATCATCAGAGTGGAAATCACTTGAGCCCATAAAACAGCCCAACTTTTGTCAGACAAGAAAGTTCTGACCCTTAAAGGGCCAAAGAGTCACTGACATTTGCAGGAGTGCTGGGGGAGAGAGGCTAACAGGTCTGGTTTCTGCTTGAACTCACCAGCATGAATATGGGCACCTCCGGCTATAGCGGCAGCAGTAAAATTGCCATTCACGATCCAGCACAGATGGAAAATACTGGCTCTGGAAACCGGCCACCAGCCCGTTGTTTGAGCAGGTCTGATACCTAAGCAGAAGGAGAAAGAGCAGAACACAGTAAGGAAAACATGTTAGGCTCCCTGACGGTTTCAAGTGCTTTCTAAAACAGCAATAGAAATTTTGGTTCAGGGAGCATGTTAAGGGTTTAGCTATGTACACAGAGTCACTGTTGCTATATCCTGAGTAATCATTTTGTGCGAGAAAGCAGCAGCAGTTAAATAACAATGCCCTAGCATTTGTGCAGCACTTCACATTTTCAAAACACTGTGTAAACTGTCTTTAATCATTTAACCATTCCAATGTACCAAGGACGTAAAGAAATTACTCTGTGTGATGTTCTCAAGTTTTTGTGAATTATGAGACTGACTTCCATTACTGGAAGTCAGTATGAGACTGACTCCATTAATGCTTTTATCATTGACTGTTGGTATTTGGACATCTGGTGTTCACCGGCGTGACTTTTGTTAACAGTTTCTCTACAAACTCTCCTCTCCTCTCCTCTCCTCTCCTCTCCTCTCCTCTCCTCTCCTCTCTTCTCCTCTCCTCTCC